GAATAACACAGATATATTACAAACAGGAATATATACAGAGAAATAGAAAGTGTTAGTACGAACAATCAGGTTTAGTAGTAATTGTCTGAACGCGACTCGGTTTCGGACTGCCTCTGACTCGACTGACTGACTCGCTCTGACTGACTGACAGACTCCTGACGGACTTCACTCCAGACTTCAGACTGAACTCTAGACTTCAGACGAAACAGTATTTAGACACCCCACCACGAGGGCCTCATGTGGCACAAGGCCGGTTTAACGTGGGATCTCCGAGCTCATGGGCTCGGCCAAAAATATGCCCTTTGAATCCGTATAAACGGGTTCAGGGTCAGTTTACCTCCCCGAAAGAGACACCGCCCTTCGGCGTAGCCTCGTTCGGGTTCCTCCCCGCCCGAAGGCAGAGAGTTCAACCGATTAGCCGGTCGCCCGACTTCGGACTGAACTCCCTGCTTCCTCTTGAGGCGCAGTATTTATTACGTATGGAATAGTCCATTATGTTATTATGAGTAAGGTCCCATATCAAATACATACATACATACAACAATATTTCTTATTAACAATTAATATATTACAATTTTGGAAGTGGCTAAAAGTATAGCCGATAGCTTGAATCACTTAAGAAATTGTATAAAAAACTAAATCAAAGCATCTGTCGTATTCAATGAAACGTACATAAAAGAAGGACTGCTGCCTAAATACACAAAAATATATATGTGTGTGTGTCAATGTGTATGTCTGTCTATGTGTGTGCGTGTGTGTGCACGCGCACGTCTGTGTGCGTTTATACCGGGTATAACTGCAAAATTGTCCAAATCGTGTAACAGCATAATTGTCTATCCCCCAAAATGTTTAATATCTTAAAAAAACACTAAACTAATTGAATTTCTTTTCCCCAAGTTTTCAGATAAGGCGTTTAGCCATCTTGACACCAATTGTCGTAAGAATCACTGAAAAATCCTTTAAGTTATTCAGTTAGAAAGAGAACAGGTTAGAATCATTTTGCGTCAGCCCTACTATGTCTTTCCAACTGAGCAATGGCGAGAGAAAAAGATCATTGAGGCGTTCACTAATGGTACCGACATTGAGACTCTGGCTTCCATCTTTAATGTCTATTCAAGAACGGTCAAGAGAACAGTGAACAAGTTTAAAAAGAGGAAACAGTAAAAAGGAAAACTGGATGAGGAAGTCACGACAACAAGAGGGATCATCATTTCAACTTAGAGTTAAAGACATTCTTATTGTTCAAAGTAGAGTCCAGGTGTTTTAAAAAAAACCTCGGGGAATTCCAGTAAGATATCTTTAATCATTTTTAAGATACAACAGTTAAAAGCTTAATTAAACAATTGGAAATTTTTGCTGCTTCACGATTTGGACAATTTTCTGTCATATATATGTAAAATGTGTATATATATGAATATAAATATATATGTATATGTAAATTTTTATATATATTATTTATATAATATATATACGCGGTACTTATTGAAAAGCGCTCAATATCAGTGATAGAGCTAACATATTTAGTGGGGTTGATGTGTGTTTGTGACCCTAAGACAATCGCAAATATCATGAAACACAGGGTCACAAACTCGCATCAAACCAACTAAATATATATATATCATTTTATTCCGAGAACTTTCGACATTAGCACAATGTTGTCGTCAGTGTCTTGTTTTTCTAAGACAAAATTGTTGTTTTCATCTGAAAAACCTATGTTTTACATATCTTTTAAGTTTTTATATACATATACAACAATCCAGTTTCCAGTTCGTCCTACGTTTGCGAGAAATATTTGAAATTTGGCCCCAGAAAGAAATATTTACGCATGGCCAGTTGTATGTTGCATGCTCAAGGGTAAGAAATCCTAAGAATTTATTCTTCGCTGTTAAAAAGAAAAAAAATATTTTCTTAAAAATTATTGTTTATCATGAAGTTCTATATATTAAAATTAAATTAAAGAAATTATTATATCGCGAAGTAGGGTTTTTGTCAAAGTATTTTTCCAAACAAATCAGCTTGTTCAAATTTCATCGATTGCTTTGCGACATGGAAACGGAGAGTTTGTAAATCTCAACAATGAATATTAGCAATAACTTCCTCAATACTAGATACTACGAGGATTTTTTTAAAATTCTAATTCTAATATCTACTTGATTGTGACACACTCTGAAAAGTGAACAATTTTCAGCAATATGAAATTTATGAGATCGTAGGCTAAACAAAATAAACCTTCAGTAACTGTACCAAAGGCCGATCTTCATCCAAAGGTGACGCTGTTTATTTGGTGAAATTGAAAGACATCTGCTGCAAGTTTATTTCAGGGAAAAAAAATTGATTCATAAATTAATTACTCCAATTAGACTGTGGATTGAGTACATAAATATGGGCGCATCTCCAAAACTCTAGATTAGCCATGTCTAAAATCCGGCCCGGGGTACAATTACGGTCCCGCAGTCAAATTTCGTATGTCTCCGATCCTCTGTCATAAAATGCATCACTTACGGCCCGTCAATATTGTAAAGTAGACATATAAGAAATAAAATTTCATGTTTTACAAAAAGATAGCAGCAGCACTGTGTGGCCACCCTCTAGCGGTCTGAACCTGACCTTGGCCTTTTCCAGCCAATTTCTAAAATCACTACCTTTGAACCAGACAACTGCCATTGAACCAGATCGAAGTATCTGTAGTCCAGATCGAAGTATCACCCTTCGCATTAGTGCAGGCCAGATATTTGTGTTGGTCATCTGAGATGAATAAATTCTAAAATCTTAGTGAATTAAATTTGTTTTGTGTTGGTCAAAATCAGTTATAAATCTATTTGGACACTTGGACTTGTGTCATTTTATTTTTCCTGCTTCTTAATAAGATGAATGTTGGTGTTATGTTCCTATTCATAGATTTTTAACTTAAAAGTTGACAGACAGCATTAATCACCAATAATATGTAATATCTAAGATTAACCCTTGATATAGCTTGCTGCTCCCCATCGTCTTACTGTCCTCTAGTATTGTCAATCAATCAGAGTATGTAAAGTACACACATAAAAAATAAAATTACATGTTTTACTAAAAGATGGCAACAGCACTATGTGGCCGCCCTCTGACGGTCTGACCCCAACCATGACCTTTTCCAGCCAATTTCTAAAATCACTGCCTTTAAAACAGACCTGGCCTACAGTCCTAATCTAAGTATCACCCTTCGCATTAGTGCAGGCAAGATATTTGTTTTGGTCATCTGAGATGAATGATTTCTAAAATCTTAGTGAATTAAATTTGTTTTGTGTTGGTCAAAATCAGTTATAAATCTATTTGGACACTTGGACTTGTGTCACTTTATATTTTCTACTTTTTAACTAGATGAATGTTAGTGTTATGTTTCTATTCATATGTTTTTTTTAACTTAAAAGTTGACAGACAACATTAATTAGCAATTACTAACCTGAGATGTAGCTTCCTGGAAGTTCAATTTTCTCAGACATATTTTACTTCATTTTATATGGACTTCAGATATGACAGGCTGAGGGATTTTGGTAAGAACTGTTTAAATTTATTTGTCATTGACGTAAAAAAATGAAAATATGGCCTCTGCAATAAGAGATAGGTCGTTTGCATTTAATTTTAATGGTTCAAGGAATGGCAAGTAGAATGATTGACCCTCACACATATTCACCTCATCATATCTGACCGTCTCTGAAAAAGAATTTGGACATCTCTGCTTTAGATGACCAGAGCTTTGCAACTGATCTCACCTCTGAACTAGCTTTAATAGCTCAGTGTGGGGGACTATCTGGTCACATTCAATGCCACGAAAACAAACTAGAGACATTCTATTATCGCCGTTTGGACCCAGAACTTTCACCAATCTCAATGTTCCCTCGGGGAGGCCCCGTGTCTTGAGCACCTATTGGGACATAAATTCAACCAAAAACCTTACATAAGATCCATTGCTAAAGATGCTGTTAACATGGCTTCTTGACACCTCTTTGTAGCCTCTAGTTTTACAAGAGCCAAGTCAGGCCTAAAATGGAGTACCATTGCCATATATGGACAGGAGCTATACAGTTTTCACTTTCCACCCTATAATTATTTTCCACCCTACAACCTCTTTCCCTTAGACGAAACGTCGCAAGCCTCTCACTGTTCTATCGTTATTTCCATGGAAAAATATTCAAGCGAACTACATTCCTTGGTTCCACCAGTTCAAACCTCCATGGCTAAGACCCGCCATGCCACACCCATCGTAGCGAACCACCTTCATTCCCCCCGTATTCCATTGGTGAGATGTAAGTTCCACTAGAGCAGCTTCTTACCACGAATCGCTGTTTTGTGGAACCGACTCCCAAGAAGATACTTCTCCGATGACTATAATGTTAACCTCTGCAGGTTTAGAGTTAACCGTTATCTTTTCCCATATATCTGCGCCTCTTACTCTGTAACGCTCTACTTCGAGTGGCTCTTGTGCCTTGTAAAGGGTGAACATCATTGAAAAAAAAAATAATTCCTCTATTTTTCATATTTTATTCAATTATATATTCACCATTATTTTCAGTGACTGCTTGATACTTATCCGGAAACTTGACGATGCTCCTGAAGTCAAATTCGACAGGTTTTGGATGCGAATACGTTTTTGACGAACTCTTGAGCTTAGTTTTCATTAGAGCCAGTTTTCCGCCATCAAAGCGATTTGAAGCAATCGATAAAGGTAATAATCGGTTAGAACAAGACCGGGTGGATATGTCGGGTGGGGTTGAACAGACCAACCGTGTTTCAAATTTACTTTATCCTATGTGTTACTCGCTGTATACAGCCTTTTTTTGTTAAACTTTAATCTACTCCGTACGCTCACACGGACGTACAAAACTAAGGGGTATGTTAGTTTACTCTAGATTTATTCTTAACTGCCTCGTATGATTAAGGATTAGGATAATACATTCGTCATTACAATTGGTTCCCCAAAACGGAAATTACTTATAACTTGACCTAATCTATCTATTCCATAGTCTCTCCCTATCTACCTATCTATCTATCTCAGTCTGTTCATATCTATCTATCTCAATCTGTTTATTTTCTATCTTTCTTAAATTGTTCATTATCTATCTATCTATGCCTTTTCATATCTGTCTCTTTGCATATCTATCTATCTATCTCATTCCTTTCATTATCATTCTATATCTATCTATCTATCTATCTATCTATCTATCTATCTATCTCATTCTTTTCATTATCAATCTATCTATCTATCTATCTATCTATCTCATTCTTTTCATTATCAATCTATCTATCTATCTCATTACTTTCATTATCATTCTATATCTATCTATCTATCTATCTATCTATCTCATTCTTTTCATTATCAATCTATCTATCTATCTATCTATCTCATTCCTTTCATTATCATTCTATATCTATCTATCTATCTATCTATCTATCTCATTCTTTTCATTATCAATCTATCTATCTATCTATCTATCTCATTCTTTTCATTATCAATCTATCTATCTATCTCATTACTTTCATTATCATTCTATATCTATCTATCTATCTATCTATCTCATTCTTTTCATTATCAATCTATCTATCTATCTATCTATCTATCTATCTCATTCTTTTCATTATCAATCTATCTATCTATCTATCTCATTCTTTTCATTATCAATCTATATCTATCTATCTATCTATCTATCTAAGTTTTTCATTATCTATGAATCTATCTATTATATTATCGTATTGAAATGCAAATCTATTCTTAACTGCCTCGTATGATTAGGTGTTTGGATTACACATTCGACATAACAACTAGATCCAAAAAATGAAATTACCTATGAGTCAACTTAATCTGTCTATCCATCTTTCTATCTATTTATTTATCTATCTCAATCTATTCGTTATCTATCATCTCTCTATCTATCTCAGTTTTTTCATTATCTATCTATCTATCTACCTATCTATCGCGGTTTTTTCATTATCTATCTATCTATCTATCTATCTATCTATCTCAGTTTTTTCATTATCTATCTATCTATCTATCTATCTATCTATCTCAGTTTTTTCATTATCTATCTATCTATCTATCTCAGTTTTTTCATTATCTATCTATCTATCTATCTATCTCAGTTTTTTCATTATCTATCTATCTATCTATCTATCTATCGATCGATCGATTTGTTTTTTCATTATCTATCTATCTATCTATCTATCTATTATATTGTCGTATTGGAATGCAAATCTATTCTTAACTGCCTCGTATGATTAGGTGTTTGGATTACACATTCGACATAACTCGATCCAAAAACGGAAATTACTTATGACTCAACTTAATCTATCTATCCATCTTTCTATCTATTTATTTATCGCAATCTATTCGTTATCTATTTCATGTTTTCATATGCATCTATCTCATTCTTTTCATTATCTATGTATCTGTCTTATATTGTATTCAATTCCAAATCTATCTACCTATCTATCTATTATATTGTTGTATTGAATAACAAATCTATTCTAAAGTGCTTTGTATATTTAATAGTGAGGCTGATACAGTCGTCATTACCACTGCGTCCTAAAATTGGAAATTACTTATGGCTCAACCTAATCTATCGATTTATCAATCTGTTCATATCTATCTATATCTCTGTCTATTATATGTTAGTAACTCCATTTAAATTGCATCATATGATTAGTAGGTAGGATGATATATTAGTTATTAGAAATGCTTTCCAACAATGCAAATTATTTATACCTCAACCTGATGGTTACTGCCGGCAATGGACGAAAATCGAGCGGAATTATTAAAAAACAAAATGGCAGATTATTCCATTAGGATAAAGCTGGGCTGTATGTTTCTTTAGTGAACAAGTAAAAAAAGAAACTGTGAAAAACTGATAAATTTAAACTCAACCATGTTATTCGCCAGATTTTGTTTGCACCTTTCGATAACCAGAGAATATTTACAATTGACAAGAAAATTAATTCTCTGGTTTACTGTAAAAGACAACTTGAGCCGGTCTTTTCTAAGCAAAATAAAAATTTCCGGGAGCCAGGCATTTAATTTTTTACATGTTCTTCCTATTAAGAAATCTCTTAACTTATTACAAAAATCATCTTAAAAATTATAGCCTTGGTTGTTGACAGTCTAGGAGAAAGAAAATCCTGAATTCAAAACCGCATGTAGTCCTGGCGAAGCACATACTATGCAGCCAATCAAAGAATCGTGGACATTAAAATGACTCCGTAATCCTGACTGCGATCGACCTTGACAAAAATTATCCAAATCGTGTTACAGCATAGGATAATTGTCTACCCCACAAAGTGTTTAATATCTAAAAAAAAAACATTAAGCTAACTGAGCTTCTTTTCTCCGGGTTTTGAGATAAGACGTTTAGCCATCTTGACGCCATTTATTGTAAGAATCATTGAAAAACTCTTTGAGCTAGAAAGAGAACAGGTTAAAATCATTTTGTCTCAGCCCCACTATGTCTTCCCAACTGAGCAATGGCGAGAGGAAAAAGATCATTCAGGCCTTCATTAATGGTACCAATATTCATACTCTGGCTTCCATCTCCAAAGTCCATTCAAGAACCATGATGAAAATGGTAAATAAATAGAGAGGAAAATTAGATCAGGAAGTTACAACAGGAAAAGGGATCATCATTTTAACTTAGAGCTAAATACATTCTTATTGTTCAATGGTAAATTCCAGTAAGATATCTTTAATCATTTCCTAAGATACAACGGTTCAAAGCTTAATCTAACAATTGAACAATTTTGCTGTTACACCGGTACATATATAGAAAAGGAACAAAAATGCTAACCAACCTCGCAACCTCGAGTGTTTCAAAATAAAATTGTCCGTCTTTTCAACTTTACTCTTAAAGGGTGTAGCCCAACATGTCATACCATTTTGGAATCAGGCCAACTCTATAAGCAAATTAAAAACATTCTGGATCGGACCTGGACTCGAAATCCTGCAATTTTGTTTTCCCAAATTTTCTTTCATTACTGCGATTGTATTCGGATTCCGCCATCTTGGTTTTCTGATAAAAAAACAATTAAAGGGACACAACTCTCTAACTTTCAATAGCTCATGTTCAAATTAAAAAATACTCTTCTAAAATTACAGTGTTTCAAAATAAAATTGTCTGTGTTTTCAACTTTACTCCTAGAGGCCATAGCCCAATATGTCATACCATTTTCGAATCAAGCCGACTCTATAAGTAAATTAAAAACATTCTGGATCGGACCCAGACTCGAAATCCTGCAATTTTGGATTCGCAAATGTTCATTACTGCGATTGTTTTCGGCCAATTTTTACGTGATTTTTTTTGCGACGAAATTTTTGGACGATAACAATTTTTGTAACTTGGAAATAAATTTGAGAATAATTGAAATTAATTGCGAAATCCAGCGAAAGTCACTCATGAAATATAAAAAAAATAATTGTACGGAAAGTAAGGACCTACGTACATCAAATTGTTTTTAAATTAAGTGGCGGCAGAAAAAATATCGTTGAACTTTTAAAAGCTAAACTTAAATATTAATGCAATACTTAAATATAGCAATTAATATTGAGTTCTTCTGTAGTTTATTGTTGCCTATCGCATCTACTCCTCCCTACCTATTGTGATGAAGACTCAAACAAGAACTCTCCGCAGGAGCTAGTTTAAATAACGCTCGATAGGACAACTCTTAAGTTAGATTCGTCATAATTTGCACGTTTTGCCTTCTCCTCTTACGTACAATACAACTACACTCAGTAATCCTCTTCCTTGAGTGACTCTTAGGACTTATTTTAAACGAACAATGGTAAAAACAAAAATTGTCATACAACTAAACCACGAAACATGAATCCCTATAACGTCTTTGGAAAGATAGTAAAGTGACTTCCCGTTGTCTTTATCATAGTTTTGAATCTAGAGTAATATTTCTCCTAGACTGGACGCCACTCAAGACAAGTATCCACAGGTTCGCATCTGTTTACTGCTTGATGTTCGCTATATAATTCAAATTAGACTTCTTAATTCCAGATTTAGATTATGCGAACGATAATCCCCAGTAATATTACTCAGATTGAAATTTAGGTAGATTATGCGAATGATGTTGCTCAGTTAGGAAGATGTGGAGAGCTATGATCTATCTTTTTAGCCCTTATTAAGTATTGTCTTTACCCCTTCACTTTCATTCTCTGTTCTCCCAACTTTTTACACAATCTTAAATAGGTTACTCGCTGTTTCCCTTTGCTTCCCTTACCTTCAATATGTCCCTGTGAGTGTCAAATTCTACGGTTCTTCTTTCCTCATTATGTGTCCTAGAAATTTCAATTGTCACCTACTGATTTCCATTTTCTTTAAAACTTACTCGTTGCTAAAGCGATCCGTCCATTGTATCCAAACTATCCTCCTGTAGAACCATATCTTCTTTTGCTTCGTTTCCTCGCCATCTGTGTGGGGATTGTCCAGCATTCACTGCCATATAGAAGGACTGATATCACGTAACAGTTGAGTACATACGTTTTTCTTTGTTTCTAACGAAATTTTCTTGTTTTCTTAATATTTTGCTTAGCTTTGGAAAGGTACCTTTAACTGTTCCAATACGATTTCGGGCTCTGGTGTCACATTTCCGCAGCATAACGTTTCCGCGAACCTGATGAATATTTATGAGCATTATAAAATTGAAAAAAATTGTGTATAAGTACTTGCTATTATAAGAACATTATTAGAAAATAAATTCCTTGCATATGCCTTGATAAAGTACATTAGAGGACAAAGTACGTCGGCTAAGTTAAGTTTTCCCTTTTGTCTTTATTCATATATATATATATATATATATATATATATATGTGTGTGTGTGTGTGTGCATGAAAGGATTTATACGTGAGTATTCATTTATTTAAATAATTAACTAGAATATTTATCTATGGAAAAAATTAAACGGAATCGCATAAAGGTAAATAACTGATTATTTAAATAAAAATATTACAAATCCTTTAAATACAAATTTATATATAATTAGGCCGATATATATATATATATATATAATAAAATGGCTTAAACACTAATATTCCATGGTCATAATTTATTCCATTGGAATCGTAAATACGATCGAATTATTTACGATTCCAATTGAATAAATTATGACCATGGAATATAAGTGTTTAAGCGTTTTTATTATATCCTTACTCTGTCCTGGACATTGAGTTCTACCTGGATTCTATCCTCTTGGAATTTTTTATTTAATAAATATACTGGTATGTATGCACCTATATGTATATATATATATATATATATATATATATATATATATATATATATATATATATATATATTTTTTTTTCATTGATGCATGTCTATTAATTATGGGAAGCCATTAGTTTTTATTTATATAGTTTAATTTCCTCCAGTTGAACTTTCCAACTGGAGGAAATTAAGCTATATACATAAAGCAGATGAAACCTAACCTGAACAAAATAAACTATGAAATCTCCACACACACACACACACACACATATATATATATATATATATATATATACACACAGAGACACACACATGTTGAGGCATGAGTTGTTAAAGACGACGGAACTTTTCCGTTTAATAATCTTTTTTCCTGTTTTTTACTTGTTTTTCCGCAGTTTTATATATATATATATATATATATATATATATATATATATATATATATATATATATATATATATATTTTTGTGTCTAAGTTGTGGTAATAAGAACGTAGTCGATGATGATTTTCCGAGCACTTTCGGTTATCGCCAACCGTCATCATGGCTGTATGTTTTGGTTTGAAGTATATTGTTTATTGTTTTAATTTTATATATAATATTTGGGATATTTAGTGTTGTTAGATTAGTTGTTTATTAATAAGGAGCGGCGTGGTGTTTATTATTTGGAGGATTAGTTTTTAAATGTGTTTAAGATGTTTCTGTCGGTATTAAATGCTATTTTATTTATACTGGGTTTTTGTTTTTTAATGATAATGGCTTCAAGAGTTTGTAATCGTTTTTACATTTGTTTTTGTAGAGGATTTTGGTTGATATTCTTGTTGATTAAGATTTTTCTTATTTCGGAGGACATGAATCTGTTAGTGGTGCAGTATGTTGTTATAAGGTGATTTTTTATGGCGCTGCTGTCATTAAGGTGGCATGTAAACCGACGTAAGAGAGTTGTGGTTGTGTGTCCAATGTATGTGCTAAGTTTATGTGAGAAACAGTCTTGAAATGGGTATGTAATCCTGTCCACTAC